TTAACCCCCCCCCCCTTCCCGCCATTACAAGATATTGCTGCCCCTGAATGTTTTGTTCAAGGATCAGTAACCATAACAAGCTACAGGGTGCAAACTTCACGTACATGTATTGAATGGATAATGCATAGTGGAAATCAAAACTTGGAGATATACATGTTTAGTGTTCAAATGATCTATCAATAAGGTTTTTAACACCAAGTCTTTAAATGTATTTAATGTTCACTTAACCTCCTTCCAATTATACTGTTATAGCGGTTTTGGCTAAAATTACAGTGCACATACCTGATTAAATGTAAATAAAAATGTTAATAATGATGATAATATCTAACTGAAAAAGGAATTAAGATGAAAATAAAAGTCGTTAATGTTATTCAATTTGTGAACATATTTCAATACCCCGGTATATCGTAGTTGCATTTAAAGCGACTATTCTTCATTTCCGACATCACTGTTTTTCTTTCTTAAATCACTGTCTGAGTCGCTGCTACTGTCACTGATATTCGCTGCTCCGATGTCAAATTCGATCTCCTGCACCCTGCTACATTTGCTTGATAGTCCTTGGCAACGGCACCCTATGTAGCATGGTATTTCCGTCTTGGCACATGAGCAGTTCTTCTTGCACCCTTTAGTACATCCGCATGATATAGCCTTCTTCATCGAAACGGGCCAGGCTTCATGGGTACTTGGAATAGGAAGCACATGCTGACCATCCAGATTCCACCCAAATTCTGTCCAGGCAGGGATTTGAGGCTTGGCAATGTGTGCTGTCTTATCTATCATCGTTGCAAGGGCAGCTCTCTTTACATGTAGAAGAAATGCGTCCTCTGTGGGGGGCAGGAGCCTTAGGAGAGTAGATCTGTTGTTCAAAAACTTGTATGCCCTGATTTTGCCTAGATCAGACTCATTGAAGTCATCACTTGCTGAGGTGTAAACAGCAGTCGTGATGGCCCTTGCCTCCTTGATTAGGTCTCCAGATACAACGTCAGCTGGATTCTCACCAAACTGTTCAATCGTGGGTATGTCAAGACTCAAGCTGCGCTTGAACCATGCCTTCTTGCCGGTGAAGAATGGATAACTTGTAGTATCTTTGCCACTCAGGCTATGGATGAAGGGCATTGCACGACACGGTGAAGCTCCCAGTGCTACCACCATTTCATGGATCGGCAAGTACGAGTCCTTGGCTGTCCTTATCCATAGTTCTGGTAGATCTTTCAGGTATGTCGCTCCATAGTGTAGACACGTGATAATAATATCTGTGTCATTGGCATGGATGACTACCCTTTCAACTTTGTCATTTTGGACACTGTACAGGGTGTGCAGAATTACCCTTGTATCAGCCTCCTTCTGAGTCGATTCAACAGCTGGAACATCCATAACAGACTCTCTTGTGATCAATACAGTCTTAGTCTCTTCTGTGAATCCACCGCCCAGATAGAGATGGGTTGGGCCTACATTGTCATCCAGATGCTTATTCTCACACCATTTCTCGCATAGATAGTTTTGGAGATTAGCCTTGTTTGCAGCCACTGCAAAGAAATCCTGTGGGTCAGGAGCTGTGTAATGGTCACTGACTTCATATTCCCGGGCGGGTTTAGATCGGGCATACCTGTGCTCTTGCTCAGCAGACTTCAAGCTTGGTCCGCTGTACCTGTCACAGCAGAAGTGTATGAACTCCGTACCAGCAGGCACATCATTCAGTAGCAGGTATTTGTATCGTTCAGCAATGGTTCCAAATCGTTCGCCTTTGTTGAAAGACCAATGTCGGATGGCACACATGGCATCAATGACTACTGCTGTCTTTCTGTCATGTTGGGGCAGATCAGGCGTGCTGGTAACTTTGGTCACCTCTTTCAGGGTTTTCACGAGGCTTGATTTGGTACCTTTTCTCATTCTGCCATCATCTTGAAAGAGAGACGGTGGGTATTCATTGCATTCGTGGTTCCCTATGAAGTCAACAATGTCTAGTTCTCCACCACTAGCAACGATCTGTGTCATTCGCAGAAGAGCAGTTACTTCATTACTCTTCCCCGATTTAGCTGTTTGGGGCGCAGACTTCTTTTGTTTCTTGTTTTGTGTGTGGAACGTGTTCAGCTTCACAATACTTGTCTTCTTCTGAAGACTGGACAGTGACTTAGAGAGTGCATCCAGGCCTATTTGTTTAACACTGGTCAAGTTGTCCTTAACTTTGCAATCAGCACATTGCCCAGTTGCCACATTTATCAGGGATGTCGTGGTTGCACTGAATGGATTCGTCTCGACTGCTGCCATTACCTTGATGACCATCTCTGCATCCCTTGTTACTCGACATGCACCAGATTCATGATGAGGGCTGGTTGAATGAAGATGTAGCATTGATTTCAAATGTGCAGAGACATATGCAGTGATGGGTTTAGTGTAAACCCATTTCATCCGTGCGGCAGGGTTTAGTGTAATTCCGTCAAGACCGCTAGCTTCCTTGGCATTGGCATTGTAAGTCTGTTCAAGAAGCATGTCAGGAGAAACACAATTGTGCTTGCCGTCTGCTCTCCTTCCAACAAATGCACCCGCCAGAAGTGCTTCATGTACATCAGGGGCTGTTTCAGGAAGTTTCTTCATCTCATCAAGATAGAGTGGGAGAGACTGCTGCCCATATTTGTAATGCCCTGCTGCTGTGAGGTAAGGTAGCATTCGATATGATTCACAGAGGTGTCCTACCCAGTCAGCTTCTCGCTGGTAGTAGATAAATCTATGGAGAACATCTGACATAATCAGGAAGGTGGACCATAGGATTGCTGTTGGCTGCTCAACCATTGATTCTTGGAAAAGCATCATCTGTTCCCGCAGGGCTGATAACTGTTCATGGGAATTCCGAAGCATTTGCAACTTTTCAGTGGCAGGGATGTCTTTTTCAAAGAGCATCTTCAAGACAGATTCCACCTGAGGCTGCCAGTGATCTGTTGCTCTGTCTGCTGCCCATGTCTCAAATGCTTCCCAGTAGAGGCGCCACATAGCTTCGCTTAGGATTCTCAGGGCATGTATGGTCTGGTAGTAGTCAGCTTTCTCACCAAACATCTTCTTGGCAGTCCCTTCCTGGCATAGACCAGCTGCAACGAGAAGATCTTCTGCACCTGCCTCCCTGATGATCTTGCAAACTGCTTTCATGTAGTTGTGAGCTTGATGAAAGCCACCCAGCAGTAAGACCACATTGCTGAACTCATTACGATGCTTGTCTCTGATGGCTACGGCGAGCTCGTATGTTGCCTGATCTCCAGTGATAATTGTGTATTTGTCGCCAAGTGCACGTGATGTCTTGACAAGTCGAATCATCATTTCCTTTAGTATAGTAGGGTTGGTTGGAGAGGATGGGATCAGAGGAAGGTAGCCAATGATGCTCGCCTGTCTATGTGGGTGGAGGTCAGCACAGAACGCAGAAAAGCCTGGAAGTCCTGCTCCTAAATCTGTAGGAGGATCCAACAGTTGCGAAGTAGTGATCATTCTACCGAGGCGCCACATAAGCAAAACATCCTCAGCCTGGCCATCTGAAGAAGTCATCAGACTCTCCAGTTTCTCTATGCATTGAAGTGACCTAGATGTCTGCCTGTCTCTAGCTGAGATATGGCATGTAGAAGGAGTGGGTCTTCAACATCAAAGAGAGTTTTTCTTCTGTCTGACGTGGAAGTACGCAGTCTAGTGCCTTCCTGGGCCCTCTCCAACTCCTGGTTTTCAATGACGATTGCAGTAGTAGCATTGAAACTTCCACCTTCAAGTGTTTTCTTCTTCCAGTCCAGATTGTCCATGGCAAACACATGGGGAATTTCACTGTTTTTTGCCATTGTCTCTGGGATGTAAACACCATCAGTTTCAACCTGCTGCATGGCCTTCACACTCTGTGCTGTCAGTTGCCGATGAAGACGTTCATAACTGATCCCAAGCCAGTTCGGTTGTTCATCACTACTTGTGATTTGCTTCGTGTCTGATTGAATATGTAGTATGCAGTGGAAATTCCTAGAGGTGTGGGTATGCCAATACATGCTGTAGGACATACTGTGACATGATGATAGCCTTTTCTGCTGTTGCCTGGTCTACATGAACTTTACCTCCTTCACTCAATTCTGGTACATGGTCTTTGAGCAGCATTGCTGAGAAGTTGAAAAGCGAGTCTGGAACCATCATATGTTGTATGCAGATGTGAAGGAAATCTCAGTTGAATTTTTCTCACGAGTCTCTTTCTTACACTTTTCACAATCTGCTCTAAGAATCTTTGATGCTTGCAGAAGTGTATGGTGTTTTTCATCGATATCGTCTCCTTCTAGGCGCCTCAGTTTATCCAGTGCGTCACCAAGTGGTACTGTGGAAGCACATATAAATCCCGAACCTTTTGTTTGATCGAGGACTGAAATACGTGACCCATAGTGATCCTGTAACTTCTGTTTCAAGACAGTCGCCCGGTATTGATTTCCTTTATCGACACCAAGCTCCATAAGAATGTCTCGGTACCTATCGCGGAGTGATTCTACGAGGAATCCGGACGGATCATGGAAAAGAGGAGCTTCCAGCTCATCTACTAGTCGGCTGAATGCAACATCATAAGGGTTTAATTTTGGCTGACCAGAATGAATGCGAAGAGCCTTGAATTTGTTCATACATGTCGAATGATAGGTTATATCATTGGCAATCATATCATGTCCCTGCCCAATCAGCCTCTGTAATATGTCATCTCTGCCCAGCTTCCTTGCCCTCTCCTCAATCGACATTTGACTGCTCTTTGTTGATACCTTACACACTGGCCCCTTTCCCTTCAACTTCCACTTCTTATTGCAAATTATACATGTCTTCTTTGCTTCAAAACTCTCAGTGTTCTGACGGGTTAACTTGACAGGTTGCTTCGACTGCGATGAGCTGCATCCTGCATGAGACTCACCTTCTGTACTCGGGTTATCAGAAAGACGTTTCTTTTCAGCACACTGGTAGCCTTTCTCATGTATGTACCAGTTACGACATTTTGCATGCCAACTTGGTGCATTTTCCTCCAACCAGGTTTCTGATGCTGACTCGGTGTGAATTCTGTTAAACACTTCATCTTGTCGAGCGAACATGGCTTGTATAAGCTTTGAATATGTTGTTAACTGGATGAAGTATAGACTCATCAAAGACTCTTGTTGGCATATGATGCATTTTGTGTAGTCAGTGCTCATATCTTTGGAAGACTTCTTAGCAGGCACATGCTTCAGGGACATGGCACTATCTGCCACACGTTTGCTTGGCTACTTACTCATCTTGCTGTAGGAACCTACAATATAGAGGGGGAGGGTATCGTTTTAATAATAGTTACACTGTTTTCATATTTGATATAAATCTAACTTTAAAATGTTACTTAAAGGTATTATGTCCCATTTGCATGCCAAACTAATGAAAAGGTTAAATTCCAACGGGATTTGAAAGATAATACTAATTTAGAAATTCCCTCAAAAACGAAGGGCTTAAAAATGTCTTTAAGTTGGAAGAAAAAAAAAGACCATAGTTGTCGAATCGACTTTAGTGATTGCAATCACCAAGGTAATATTCTGATTTTCAAACCCTTGTACCGACTCGTTGTACGTTTGGTGCTGCGCAGAGATTCAATCCGTTTAATTTTGGCCATTACAAGAAGTGGGTTGTTGATGTAGGCAAATGCTCATGTACCCTTTACAGCTCATTTTATGTATGTTTTTTTTTCTCTTTAATATTTATGTATGTTATTACCAAAGAAAACAGTCAGAGAGTCACTCAATAGTGTCTGACAGTGAAGTCTAGCAAGTAAACGGGTTTCCTTGCATAATTTGAATAGAAGTGAGGAATTTGACCAAAGTAAAAAATATAATTATGCCTTGAATTCAGATTATAACTACAATGTATAGCTATTGTTAGAAAACTTGTATAAAGTACATTTAACTGTGTGGCATACAAATAATATTAGATGAATCTAAATGATACTAAAATAGAAAGATACCTCAAATCACTAAAAACTTGGTCCTTTGAATATTAATTTTGCAAAAAGTAATGTGAATGATGTTTTAATTATAATGTGTACATTATTACAGTGTGACAATTAAAGGTGAAAAAAAAAATCAATGTCCCATTTGCTGTAAAACACATACCAATTAAATGATATTGTCGCATGCAGATATTAGAAAGCTTGTTTGTTAATCGCTTACCATTATGTACTAGGTGCTTAAGCGGGATATCATCATCAGGATCACTGACATCATTTTGCACTGAGGCAAAGGAGGCATCCATGTTGTCCCAATCAGCATCCCCTAAAAAGAAAAAAATTCATATTACATACTCGTTTTTAGTGACTAGCGATTGCAGAGTGGAGACAAATGGATAGATGGAAAATTTTTTCTTTTCAGCATTCAATCATATGAAATGTATTTAATGTTAGATTAATGTTTTTATTCATAATATTTACAATGACTGATATTTTCTACAACTCAAAATATAATACACCTCCAGATATTGTAAAGAATGTTTGTTAATCGCTTACCATTATGGACTAGGTGCTTTAGAGGCATATCATCGGGATCCATGACATCATTTTGCACTGAGGCAAAGGAGGGAACTGTGTTGACACTATCAGCATCCCCTAAAAAGAGAGAATTCATATTCAATACTTGTTTTGCTGACTAGCCATTGCATAGTTGAGAAAGAGAGGAATGGATGGGAAATGTTTTCTTTTCCTCATTCAATCATATGAAATTTTATTTTATGTAAGATTGATGTTTTAATGGTTAACATTTTGAATGACTGATATTTTCTACAACTCAAAATAAATGATACATAAGTTACCTGATGAGGTACGATGAATCACTTGAAGTACCTTCCCTGCCCACCAACGCCCACGTTCATCTTTCATCTTCACGTTGGTCCCTTTCCTTAATGGATTCTTCTTAAAGAACCAAACATCTCTCGAATCAACGTAGTGCCTGGATCCATCCTTCTTCCATTGGATGAGGAGGTCTATGCCATTTGTTTCAGCTGTAAACAAAAAATAACAGCAGTCAATTTAACAAATTTGAATTGTTCAGCTATGTGGTGTTGAAAAGATTTGAAATCTACATTCCAAGTACCCTAGTCTGCGCACCAAGACTTTTCATACAAAAATGAAAAATGTTAAACATGAATCTAAAACTAAATACCTGCGTGACTCAAAAATTATTCGGAAGATTGATGAAAAAAATCTGAACAACTAACTCACATTTAACACCTCTCCGCTTGGCTAGAACATTGATGTGCACTTAAGTATGTGCACGTACCCCATTCAATTTTATGTACATCCAATTTGCAGCCATTAATTGTGAGATTTATAAAAACTACAAAAGTTGCATTAACTCTGACATTGATTATAACATGACATGGAATGGCGAATTCGTTTCTTAGAAAACCGTCTGTTGCGTCTTTTCTTCCATTGCAATCACACATTAATTAATGCAGTTTAATAATGATAACAAAATAATTATTATAGAGTCTAGGGTCTAGATCTACTTAGATTTAGTCTAGAATCTAGATCTTTAGATGTCTATAATATATAGTACAGACTAGATCGATCTAGACTAGAATATATTTAATGAAACAAAATTATGCACATGCACCTCATATTATTTCACCTTTAATCATAACCATATGATTTTTGTACATAAGCGAATAAAGATGTTCATAATCATAGCTACATGTTTGGATTTAATGAAACAAAATGATGGACATGCACCTCATATTAATTCACCTTTAATCATAACCATATGATTTTTGTTATATAAGCGAATAAAGATGTTCATAGCTACATGTTTGTGTGCCAAAGGTCGCCATAGACCCGACACTTATATTGTAAGTCTAAGCCGTATTCGCCATAACAAGACACGATATACAGTACGTGGGACAGGTGTACTAAATTTGTTCATCCCCAGACACTCTTCAGTACCGTATACCAACAATAAAATCATTTAATACGTATATCGGCACTTAAATACTTTCAACAACCATAAAGCCATAAGTAACTGATATAAATGACTTATCTGCACATTACAATTTGTTTATTTAATTGCTTACGTAGTAGACTGGAATCCCCGGCAGACGACATGTTGATCGGCAGGGCGTTCTTGCACAAACAATTTTGTACCGCGAAGTCCGCGCTAAAACGCCTCTAGTACGGGAGGGCGTGTACTGCGCTGAACGTAAACCGTGATGACGACCAAGGGCCTATTTGTATTGCTCATAACTCATCAGAAACTTCGAAATAGACAACAAAAAATATATTTCTGGAATTCTTGTGTCATGTAGATTCCATTTCTGTGAAAATCTCAAAAAGGCTCAAAATCGTCAAAAATAGCAGACAATATTTGGAGCTAACTGGGCGTTCTTGCTCCGACGCGACGAATTTATTACAAATTCCAGGCGGATATTTTCATCCCAGAAGAATTTCAGATGGGGGGGGGGGGGGGGGTATTCCCCTTGTACCTCCCCCGTCACCCAGCCCAACCCTTCCCTGTTCACTATCCCTTCAATCATCAAGAAAAAGATAGAATGCAAGATGGGAATTCGCGTTCCAGTTGCAAGGGACTTGAAATCCTGTCACATATGCCATGCCGCATTGCCGACGCACGTTAAGCGTAATATGGAACTGACCTATGCATATTGTCCAAAATGCAAAATATCAAAGTGTGAACTTTGCTACGCTATAACTTTTTGTGCATGACAGCAATAACCCTGTAATTTTCAGATCATATTAAACTAATATCCGACAAGTTTTCTGGGTATTTTCAAGTCTTCAGTTACAAAAGTTTTTGAATTGTTGAGAAATATGTATTTTAGCGCAATTCATATTTTTGGAAAAAATGTTAAAAAATCACATTTTTGGCCAAAAATTGATATTTAAAGTAAATTAAATCATCATAATTGTGGTACCATCTTGTACATAATTTAATTCCCTTTCATATGATACCACATATGTGATAAAATAATGTTCTGTTCTAAGATTATTATCCAATTATTGAAAATTGTTTTTTCATGGCGGCCATTTTGAAAAAATGGCCGCCATTTTTTTCCAGCAAAATATTGTCAAGGTAGTCCACCTAGAAATTGTGCAGGAAGGTCTCCTGAATACGTTCATACCAACCGACCTTTTACAACATCCCATGTCTCAAAACCCTCCAAATCAGGGTTTTGCCCCCTGGGTATGATATGTTTTACCATAGGAAGACGATCTGATCAGATTTTATGTTAAATAGGTCAAAGTTCAAATGTCACAGAGGTCAATTAATTATATTACAGGCTTTAGCCTTGCTATTGTGATTTATATTCCACATACTAAAAATATTGCTCTACGATTGGTCAAAAGTAAATCACGTGATGAAAGATAATTCGCCCATTATTGATGGGAGAAGCAAAAAGTTCGTTACACTGTGTAGATAGTACTACTATCTACAAAGTGCAACGCACTTTCACTGAAGATAGAGGTACTATCTACAAAGGGCATCGCACTTTCACTGAAGATTATCCAAAAGCGCACTAAAACAGGCGAAATTAAGCGCGCATTACCATTAGGCGCAATTAAAGAAAACACATGCGCGTACCATACCCTCAAGGGGTTGGGTTAAACTTAAACTGTTTTGGTGTGAATTTGGGCCTAGGTGTCTTTTATGTAAATGCATACACGTCCTTTTCTTTTTGTAGTTAAATTGTTTTAGATGTGGAATATAAAGCAAATAATCACCTTTTGGTTTCAGGCGATGGCAAACTATCACTTCCTCGTCGATCAGAATGTATACGCTATCTTTCCTCAGCTTCGCTTCGGAAAGATAGCTACATCCAGATCGCCTCGGAAGTGATAGTTTGTCCCATCACTTTCACCAACGGTAATTATTTGCTTAATATCAAGAACAGCTATCAACATTTGGTTCAAACTTGGTGATAGTATTTATCATCGATGGAAAACAATCTGATTAACTTGTTGTAATTTGGTCAATGGTCAAATGTCATAGAGGTCAATTTCAGAATTTACAGGTTTTATCCTTGCTTTCGCGATATCGTAAGAACTACAGTATTAGTATTAGCCTCAAAGTTGGCGATAGTATGTATCAACATTAGAAGTCAGTCTCATTTGATTAAGGAAGGTAGGGCAAAGGTCAAATAAGTACATTTATGAAGTTAAAGGTTGTTAGCCTTGCATTTCACGGAGACCCTTTCAGTCAGTCACGAGTCAGTCTAACTCATGATATCTTGTTGAAATCAACACTGATATAATTAATTAGATTATTGTTATATTTGTAAATGTGGATGAAACAAGACGAGACAAAAAATATGAACAATTATTTGTTTAACAAGTAATGTATTCGTATTAGTGCTTATAGTATACATTCCAGATAAGTCTTCACATTCGTTGCCCTTTTCCGCGGTAAAATGATAAACTGCACGGAATGCACTTCAGTATGAACACTCGAAAGCTTTATAGAAAGGTTAAAGATATGTACACAATATTAAAGTCATATAAAAAAAATCAAAAAATATGTATTGAGTTTAATTCAATAAAAAGCGTATTTTTAATGAAATGTACATATAGTTTATACTTTGAAAAAAAAAATATATTGTTACTATGACATCCATCATTTACTGATTCTTTGCTCTGTTGCTGGGTTTGTGTATTACTTAATAATAATAATAGCTAGTTCTTATATATCGCTTTCAAGACCAGAGGCCCTCTCAAATATATTATTACCCCGGTTACCGGATTCAGGCTTACCCGCACACAGTGTATGCACATTCTCCGTTCCCTGGGGAGCATTTCAGTAAGCCGTAATTTGTACAAGCGCACTCTTGCTAATCTAAGCACACTAGCTTACCCATCTTACCGGGTACCCATTTAACACATGGGTGGAGAGTAGTAAATGTAGATCAATGTATTGCCAAAGGATTTTAGTGCCGCGTTGGGACTTGAACTGCGGACCTTGTGATCCACAGTCCGGTGACATATTCACTACTCGTCCAAGACATCTCTACTTGTTTCAAGTGGATTCGTTATTCTTCGTATCCAAAATTGTATCAGTTAATGTTTCACCTATTTAAGAACTCTGGTCATGATTTCAAATGTCTATGGCTTGATTTGGTTTCATTTCAGATCCGCCCACAAATTGAAGGACGATCAACTTATCAAAGTCAGGGAGAAAATTTCCCACGGGAAATATGACGAACTCAGTGTAAGATTAGGATACGATTTGATTGATTCAAATAAAATACTAGCAAATCATCCTCAAGATATTGAGAGAGCAATTCTGGAAGTTCTCAGAGGCTGGAATCAGCGAACGCCATGTAATCACAAGGACGAGCTTATAAAGGCGCTAGAAGACATAGAACTTGCAGGACTAATTGTCGAAATATTTCCCGACTACGTATACCATTAACAAGCTTTGCCCACTGATGAGTATATGCATGGAGTAAGGCAATGCAAATAACTAAAAATGCAATGCACAGTTGAAAATGATAGTGACTCCTGTACGTTATCGTGAGTTCATAATTTAAAAGACAGCATTTTGTGCTTCAACCAAAAGTTAACGCCCCTTCTCTCTATCTGTCTCTATGTCTCTCTATACATATATATATATATATATATATATATATATATATATATATTTGTATACCTCACTTAAGAAATCCAGCCATCTGATTGTCCGAAATTGCAGTCGTGGTTTTAGCCATTCCCGTAAATAAACGAAAAATGTCAAACCTATGTAATAGTTCTAGAGTAAATCACTAAAATCCCGGCAAAATTCCACTTACCGGGAAAATAGTTAAATCTTGCTGAAATGCCCATTGGTTCACGTGTTAAAATCAGGTTTGAGCGAGCGTGAATACCATACATTGTGTGTGCGTGCAAATTGGTCGTTATAGCTTAATTATTTTTTTAATAAGACGTACGATGTCGATCGTAGTAATAAATCCGGCCTAGATTCTACGTATAGTTTCCAAACAAGGCAAAAAATGGCTGAAGAAACTCTTTCTAGATTTCAACTTCTTGATGATGATCAATTGCAAGACATGATTAATTCTGCTGACAGCAAGAACACCAAAAGGGTACGTGAAATTCTCCATACAAATATTGAGATTATTTAGGTCTAGATCTAGGCTACCTGCAAGTTATCAACAGAGACCGCGATAGCGTAAACAAACTTCCAAATTCGGAGCTGGACAACGTATATCTAGGCCAATGTTTACTATTAGATTCGGACTTTAGCTTCATTTCCTCAATTCTAACAATGTCAACATCATAAATTAACCATGATGATTTTTCCAATTCGACGAGAGTTTTTAAGTGTTTTCAGCAATGCTTAAACAAGACATTTGTGAGGAATAAGGGGGAAATGCTATATACTTAGATCTAGTCTAACTCTCAAAGATTCACTCACAAAAAACAACCATGCAGATAAACTAGAGAAAAGTCAAGGTGGTTTCATAAGTTGACTCTTTTTTCAGCATATAAAAGTGTTCATTACTGCTTTAATTTTCGAGAAATAGGTCTGGTTGTGTTTATACGATTTTAGCTCGATTGTAAACTTCCCTTGAGCGTATAAAACAACTATGTCTCTCAAAGCAGTCAGTATTTTACTATAATACCGTACAGCGTAATCAGAAGGACATATGCAGTTAAATATGAGTCATCAGGGAAACATTGTCATTAGCAGGACATTTGCATGTCCTGTTAAGGATTTAACTGCCCTCTACGTACGTTTGCAGGTAGAGGAAACTTATAGGTATCCCAATAAACATTAGTTTTATTAAATGATCATTATTTTAAATAGTAAAATTGTTTTTAATTTAGGGTTAGGGTTTATAGGGGTTAGGGTAATATACCAGTTGTTTGATGTCATGTTAATGTACCATTTAGGGTTGTAATAAAATAATCTCCAGTGGTTTAAAGATTATCTTTGTAATAAATTTCAGTTTGTGAACTATGATGGAAATAGCTCATTGAAGCAGATAATAACATGTGGTGTTCCTCGGGGTTCTGTGTTGGGACCTACACTGTTTTGGTTGTACATAAACAATTTGCCAAACTCAACAAATTATTTTAATTTTAAACTTGTTGCC